GCGCGTGCGCGCGCGTGCGTGTGCATGCACGAACATTTTTCGTACATGCACTCATGTAAAGCGCATAGAGCGCTGTTCATGATCTACTTGATGATGATGATGATGATGACGACAACGACGACGACGACGACGACGACCCACGTTATCGACCCATATTTTTAAAAAATTGACTTAGTTTCAACCCCACGTTATCGACCCTTTAGAACCCATATATTATGTTGACCTATTTTCAACCCCACTTTATCGACACTTTAGAACCCATATATTATGTTAACTTAGTTTCAAACCCACGTTAACGACCATTTAGATACCATATTTGTTGATTTAGCTTCAACCTCACCTAATCAACCCTTTAGAGCCCATATATGATGACTTAGTTTCAACCTCACCTTATCGACACTTTAGAACCCATATATTATGTTAATTTAGTTTCATTCCCACGTTATCAACCCTTTACAACCCATATATGTTGACTTAATTTCAACCCCACGTAATCGACCCTATAGAACCCATATGTTGACATATTTTCAACCCCACGTTATCGACCCTTTAGAACCCATATATTATGTTAATTTAGTTTCATTCCCACGTTATCGACCCTTTACAACTCATATATTATGTTGAATTAGTTTCAACCCCACGTTATCGACCCTTTAGAACCCATATAAGTTGACTTAGTTTCAACCCCACGTAATCGACACTATAGAACCCATATATGTTGACATATTTTCAACCAAACGTTATCGAACCTTTTGAACCCATGTATGTTGACTTAGTTTCAACCCCACGTTATCGACCCTTTACAACCCATATATGTTGACTTAGTTTCAACCCCACGTAATCGACCCTATAGAGCCCATATATGTTGACATATTTTCAACCTAACGTTATCGAACCTTTTGAACCCATTTATGTTGACTTAGTTTCAACCCCACGTTATCGACCCTTTAGAACCCATATATGTTGACTTAGTTTCAACCCCACGTTATCGACCCTTTAGAACCCATATATGTTGACTTAGTTTCAACCCCACGTAATCGACCCTATAGAACCCATATATGTTGACATATTTTCAACCCAACGTTATCGAACCTTTTGAGCCCATATATGTTGACTTAGTTTCAACCCCACGTTATCGACCCTTAAGAACCCATATATTATGTTGATTTAGTTTCAACACCACGTTATCGACCCTATAGAACCCATATATGTTGACTTAGTTTCAACCCCACGTTTTCAACCCTTTAGAACCCATATATTATGTTGACTTAATTTCAACCCCGTGTTATCGACCCTTTAGAACCCATATATTATGATGACTTAGTTTCAACCAAACGTTATCGACCCTTTAGAACACAAATATTATGATGACTTAGTTTCAACCCCACGTTATCGACCCTTTAGAACCAATATATTATGTTGACCTATTTTCAACACAACATTATCGACCATTTAGAAACATTTATGTTGACTTACTTTCAACCCCACGTTA